CAATATATCTTCTATATAGAATAGGCGAGAAATAGATAATGAGCTTTCTACCCACTCCATAAGATTGAATATGTCGCCCTTCTATTTGTCTCTTCAAGTTTACCGAAAGAACTCCGTTGCACTAAAATGAAAAGAATGAGGGATAGGGGATCACCTTGTCTAATCCCTCTACCGAACTTCAAATACCCAAAATTCCTATCCCGAATATGATTAGTGTATCAAACATTACTAATACATCTATACACCAAGTCACACCATAAATTATTAAAACCCATTTCCCTCATTGCTTTAAGTAAAAAAAAAGTCATTCAATCCTATCATAGACTTTTGACGTATCTCACTTGAAAATCAAATTATCCTTATAAATTTTTCTACTCAAATCCACGACCAACTCTTAAGCTAAGGTCATATTTTTAGTTATACTATGAACTTTTACAAACCCAACTTAATCTTGATCAATCAAACTTGACAACACCAAACTTGACCTAGTAGCCAAAATTTTTGATATTATCTTACATCCAAAAGTTGATAAGCTAATAGGGCATAAATCACTAAAGCGAGTAGGATTATCAACTTTTAAAATTAAAACTAAAATAGTAGAAGACATACCTCTAGGAAGATGTCGTCTTTTGAAAAAAAATCTTGAACGGTTGCAATGAACTCAAGGCAAATAACGTCCCAACAACGTTTGTAACAATGCCCTATGAAACTATCCCAACCTAGAGTACTAAAAGAATTTAGCCCTTCTATTACCTCTAAAACTTCCGTTTCGACGAAACACCTATTAATTGATCATTAATATCATCATCATGCTTTTTTTAATTCTTGCAAAAAGAGATTCATGAACTACTATAGCCCCAATCATGAACAATGATTGAAAAAACTAAACTCGCTTTAGCCCCAATGTCGGACAAGATCTCCACATAAGTACAATCATCCCGACATAATCTAAAGATAGATTTCTTCGTATTATCTTTAACACATGCATGAAAATATGATGTATTCGTATCCCTATCTATAACCTATTTGACTTTTTTTGATGTCCCAACATATTGTAATCCCATCTAATTAGGTGATCCAACTCTAATTTTTTATCTTGTAGATGAGTGCTTATATGATCATCCCATCCATGAAGTGAAGTTGAATCCAACCGAGTTATATCGTCTTGCAACACTTCCATATTCCTTCTAATATTCCTAAACACCTCTTAATTCCACACCCTAAGTTTATCTCCGAGATGTTTAAGTTCTTGATAGAATACCTCTATATAGGAACCCCTCACCCTACTATCCTAATTAGTTTTCACAAAAGCCGGAAAGTCATTATGTTCCAACCATATTTATTGAAACCAAAACATGAAATGCTTCTTCTTTAGTTGCTGAAGCCAAATTAGCATAGGACAATGGTTAGAAACTATTTGAGTCGGGTGATCAATGATCGAGTTCGACCTAGTTGCTACATAAGGTCCATTTGCTAACACACCATCTAATCTCTTCCAAATTCTTAATAGGCCTATTTGATTGTTACGGTAGGTATATTTACTACCCCGATAACCCAAATCCATATTACCAATTCTATCACAATAGTTATTAAATTCTATCATTCCTTAATAATCAAAACCATTTCCTTTAATTTTCTTATTTATAGATGCTATAACATTAAAACTCCCTCCTATGATCCACAAATCCCGATTAACGAAAGCCAACTGATCCAATTCAAACAATAAATCATAATGCTTCCATCTATTATAACTATCATAAACTACAGAGACTCCTAACTTTCCAATATAAATGCCCAAAATGCCGATAGTAACCACTTGTTTATGCACTCGCCTCACAAGACACTATATCTTTCTCACTCCAAAACAACTAAATATGAGTATTCATTGGATTATGATGCATGCTAGATTTATATCTAAGAGACTTAACAATGCCATCCATTCTATCCCTCTCCCCCTCCTTCCTTTTAATTTGGATAAATTATAACCAAAAACTTAGGCTTATGTCGCTTCTTTAAAAGCCTAATATAATTAATGGTATAAGTATTCCCAGTACCTTGACATTTTAAATTATAATTGATATTATTTATTGAAAGAAAATGACGTATCCAATGCTTTATAAGTTGATTGAGTCTTTCGCACACGATCAAAAACTCGTAGTTTTTTATATGTTGCAAGTTTCTAGAAATTTTTGAAAGCCTTCTTCACCTTCTTCAAATCCTCATTTTGAAAATCCAGGATCCCTATCGACAAGTTTTGAATCGTGTCCGATTTGCTCTTTTTTCCTCTTCAAAAAGTGAACCCTTCCACACATTTGATTCTACCAATTCAAAATTAGTAATAGAATCCATTCTTTCAGCTCCTTATATATCACTTTCATGTATAGTAAAGCTATAATAGTTTTTTTTATAAATATCTTGTGGTTACTATCAAGTGGCCGAATCATAGTGGTTGTTTCTTCTTTCCCTTCCCTAGTCGATTTCTCGTAATTGTTGAACGTGTTCCCCGAACTAGACCTATTTTCATTTCGAAATAGATTCCCCATCTTTCTCAAGTACTTCCGGAACTACCATATTTTCTTTCATAAGCATGTTGCGATTCTTGTCAAAAGGTCGAAACACAATTATTTTCTCTCCCTTTGCATCCCTCAACCGATTCCCCATAGTCCGAACATGTTCCCCACATTGGATCTATTTCTCTTTCGAATCAAATTCCTCGACTTTCTCAAAAAGTTCCGGAATTACAAATGGTGCGATTGATTATTTTTATAATTTTTAAATAAGAATAGCGTAATTGCATATATAAATTTTGATAAGGGGAGAGAGAGCCAAAAGTGTGTTTTAGATAATTTGATTTAATTTTTTTAAAAAATATAATAATAAGTTAAAAATAATAATTTGACTCAATGTTTTTTAAAGAAAATTAATGATTAGTTAAAAAATTCACAAGTTTTATTATAAGAAAATTAAAAGAACTAGGATATTTTAACGGTGGCTACTCGTTTATTTACTCGTAGATTATAATTTTTAACATTTTGGCCCTTGATATTTTTGAAAGATGGGTTTTTTATGGTGATTTCAAACCATCAAATAATTGGAGGAGGCGAGATCGGAGTAAAAAAAAAAAAAAATTCATTTGATTATGTATTTTTTTTAATGTGCATTAAAATGATTTTTAAGGTTTTAAAAGTGTTTTTTGACTTTATTTCGAGCATTTAGAGGTGTTTGAGGAAACCTACCAAAATTGAGTTTCTTAGGGTCTAAAATTGGACACGTGAATTTTTAACGAGCTAAAGTTCGTCGAAAGTTGAGGCCTAGGCACGTTAGCCTCTCCTAACCGCACGAGCCAACCGGGCATGTGCCTATCCTTTTTTTTTTTTTCTATAATTTATTTTATATTTTTAAAAGTCTGGCCACCAATCTTATGATAGAATAAAAAAAAAGTTGGCTAATTGTTTTAAATCTTGATGTGTTTTAGGATTGTATCACCAAAAGGCAAAAGGAAACCCTTAAAAAGAATATGTATATTGCCATAACATAATTGGACCTCCGGAAAGTGTTGTACAAGTTAAGCGATCATATATAATTGGTCCCTTCAATATGAAAGAAAACATATATATTATTGGTTCTTTCAATATACCCGAACCAACATTAATTGTATCTTTAAAATTGATGCTAACATACATATCCGATTATTTTATTATTATTATTTAAAATTTATTTCTTTAATTATTTATTTCTTATTAAAATTCTCATTAAATTAATTTTTTAATTTTTTGATATAATTTTATTTGTTAATAAATTTGGTTTTTTAATATATAAATTTTGGAATAAAATTTTAAAACGTCGATGTTTTACTTTTTAAAATATATTATTATAATTTATACGATAATTTATTTTTATATTCTTAGAGAGAGAGAGAGAGAGCTAAAAGTATTTTTTAGAGAGTTTGACTCAATTTTTTTTTTCAAAATAATAATGAGTTAAAAATATTCACAAGTTTCATTTGCTTTTCTATATATATTTATTTAAAATTTATCGGAATCAATTTTATTATAGTTTTTATTTTAATCTATTGACTTCAATATATTTCATACAATTTAGGTGATTTTTTTTTGTATATTTTTCTATTTATTCTATATACTACGAATCGTATATATATATATATATATTTGATTTACATTAGTCATAAAAAATAAAACTTTCTATCGGCATTATAACATACGAATCGTTAACTTTATGTATGTAACGGTTGTCTACCCACGACGTAGCGCGATTATCCAACTAGTTAGTATCTATGGTATAACATAGCTACAAGACATTGTAAAAGTAATAAAATATAATGGAAATATATATAAAGAATAAATATTATTTAATTTTACTTAAATTTGCATGTCATTGGCAAGTTTTCTTTCTAATTGGGCATTGGATTCAAATATCTTCGGTACAATATTATTATTATGTCATCTTTTAATGAGATTATAATACTTTAATTTCAACAAATGGATGATGATAATAATAATATAATAATAACAACAACAAAAACTCTATAACAGTAACAGTTTATATATATATATATATAAACAAACAAAATAATGCAGGGCTAGCTTGTACATTTTATCAATTCGGGACCACATGTTATTTTTCTATTATGCAACTCAAAAAAAATTTTTGTTTTTTAATCGAAAAATAGAACAACATTTCGATTTAGTTTTGATTTTTAAAAAAAAATTAGTTAATCGAAATATCGAAACTAAATCGAAAAATCGAAAGAATACTCATTAACTACAACAACTGGTGGGTCTCGATGTTGTTTGGCTGAAGAAGATAGTAGCAGTGGGAGGGTTTGAGAAGCTGGTGGTTATCAGTGATAGATCTCCGTTTTGTTTCTAGATAGGGTAATTTATCGTTTCACTTCATTAAGTTATTAAGTTATCAGGTCATAGGTAGGTACGTGACATTACAAGACAACTGCTTGGTGGCTGTGGTGTTGGCAGACTAAAATGAAGCTGTTGGTGGCGTACGGCGGTTTGGGAGACAGCAATAGATTGTTAATTCCTTCCTCAAAAATTCCAACCTTCACAGAACCAGAAAACTCCAGTCTTCTTCTTCGTTCTTCGACTTTCCCATTCTAAACCTCAACTAAGCAAAGCGTTAATCACAGAACCGTAAAAACCAACCTAACAACCTCTCTCGAAAAATCCAATCTGAGCACAGTGGAAAACGAATTGGGATTTGAGATTTTAGGATATTTAGAGACAAGAAAAGTTACCCATAAATACGGATGCCCCATTTGCAATATAGTTGTTAAAATTTGAGTCTTTGAAGGGTTGAATTTGAGTGAATGTGGAAATTGAGGTGGTTTTAGCAGTTGGGAGCGAGGCTGACGAGAGCAGTGGAGAGAAAGTAATATTTTCTTTACCATTTTTGGATTAAGAAAAATGAGTTTTAGGTTTTAGGATTTTTTATTTTATTCGTCATCTTGTAATATATTTTGTTCATTATTTAGATAAAAAGAAAACTAATTAACAGTGAGTGAGTGATTAATTTGGTTTTTTTTTTTAATAGTTTGAGCGTTTTTTATGCTTTTTAGCTAATTTTTTTGTTTTTAAATTTATTTTTATGACGTTATAATTATAATTTTATCTGATATAGCATTACAAGTGTTCAATTTTTTACCACCTATCATGTTTACTTAAAAAATTGATCAAAAAAAATCAAAAGGGTTGCATTAAAAATTTTTTAAGATAGATAAATCCGATAAATAAATAAAAAATAGAGAACCCATATTAAAAAAATTTTAGAGTAGAGTAACCAATCATGTGATTAATCCATTTTTAGTATTGCAAAATGCTAGCAACCCAAAAGCACTCTTCAAAATTTAAAAACCACATCAAAATTCAGAAGTTCAAAACCACACAACACATAGAGTAAATTACAAATTAATCCTTCTACTTTTAAGAAATAAATTAATTAGTTCTCTTTATTTCAAAAATTATTATGTAGTCTTTTAATCAGTGTTGATTGTGTTTAATTTAATATTATTTTTATTCCACAAAATCTCTTATTTTGTCATAAATCTTTTCATATTGTTCTTTTTTCTATGTTTTCAAACAAAAAATAAAATAAATTTAAAAAAAACCCAAATTACAAGTGGATTTTAAAAAGAGAGAGAGAGACTAAATGATTAATTTCTCAAATAATAAAAAAAATATAGTTAATTTGTTTTTAAAATGATAGGACTAATTTATAGTTTACTCACTACACAAACAAGTTACCAACAATCCGATTCAAAAGTTGAGGACAAATAACGATAAATCAAGATCTAGATAGTCCAATAAAGTACCTGAAAAGGATATACATTTAGATTTATATATGTAGCTAGTTCTCAATTTACCTCTTTTATTTTATTTTATTTCCAAAATGAGCCTTGAACAGCAAAATAACAAACTTACATCATTAAATCTCATCCAATCTTCAATATTCCAACCTAAGATCTCTAAGTGGAAATCCCAAATTTCAAGTCATCCATGAACTAAATAATTCCCTTCATTCGTTTCCAAAGTGATTCATAATTTCTCTTCTTCTCACTTGCATGATTTGGTTTTTATCCATTTTGTTTTATTTGGGTTGTGCTTGTTTGGGGAAAAATAAATTCCAGAAACTTGTTTTCTCCATTTTATGATGTTTGTTTCGTGTTTAGAAAAAAAGTAAATGAAAAATGATTTTAAGTCAATGAAAAATAATACGGTATTTTTTGAAAAGTGTTTTTTGAGTTAAAAAAGAGAAAGTTCGTCTCGATCTCGTGTTACTCACCTCTCTCTTGATATATTTTAATACTTTTTTCTCTATCTTTTTTATTTAAAATATATCAAATTAATTTTTGATTATTTCTTATCAATTATTATTAACTATTTAATTTTTTTCCTCTATTTCTACTAATATTTGATTTTTCGATTTATAAATCGATTAATATTCTTTAAAAAAAAATTCACCTTAAAATTATTTTTATAATAAATATTTCAATAATTTATCTTTATGTTTTTTACCATTATCCCAAACATCATGTAAACTATACTTAAATGATTGAAAATGATTATTACAAGGTCGCAATCATTTGTGAAAAAATTGAAACTAATTAATTCATCAATAAATACATTATTTTTCTAACATTATTCATTTGTAACTAAATCAATAATTTATGACTAATTTTAATTAGTTGTAAAATTTTGTTGGTAATTATAATTAATAATTAGTTACAAATTATTTGAACATTAATATTTTGAAACCAAATGAATATTTATCTACAAATGATAACTAATAATTTGTAAAACTAATTTTTAGACTAAATTATTAGTTCAATTTCAAAAAAAAAAAAAAAAAGAATTCTTAATTGAGTTACCAAAATAACAATGCTAGGATTACTTAGAAATTTTTTTACTAAATGTAAATATTGACTTGATCTTATCCCAAATAGTTTTGATGAATTGGTTTGATGGTTAAAAATGTATATTTTATTTTTAAAATTTAAATCTTAGAGTTAGTATTTATAAAAAATTATTAAAATTTTCTAAATACATCTTATATTGTGAAATTGTGAATATGTTTTGTTGAAGTTTCCTCAAAACTCATTGATGTAACAATCACGAGTCTATTTTTATTTTTCAGTTTTCTATATCAAACAAACGCTGAAATATATTTACTTGCAGTTTTTTCATGTAATTGTCAAACATCAAAAAATATTTTTTGAAAAAATAACTTCTTGAAAAATAACTTCTACGGAATTGATTTTTTCATTAAAAGTTGTTTTCTATCAAACAAATAGAGTCTAGTTTATGTGATTATCTTTGAAGTTTTAACTAAAGGCTCCCTATCCTTTGAATCTATTGAAGATAGAGACTAGCGGGTACCACCATGCCATATGCAGATGCAGTAGTGATTTAGCTTATCATAGCCAGATGATGATTTCTATACAACAATGAGAGCTGATTAATAACAATTACAACGAGGATTCAAATATTGATCGTTACCTAACATATTAGTTGTTATATAATGATTTTGAAACATTTCGTTATTATTATTTAGCATTATGAGTATTTCAAAATCATTTCACATGTATAACAACTTTATGCATATTAAAACAAAAGAACCCAAAAATTATTTTTCTACCTAGTGCCTACTATTATTTGTTGAGAATTCGGAATTTCGGGTTTTGTAGGAATGCACGCTTTAATTGGATAAATTATAAATTAGTCTCTTTAGTTTGATAAAAATAAATTTGTTAATCCTTTTTATTTCAAAAACTAATAATTCAGTCCTTTTGAAGATGAATATTTTATAATATATATCTTAAAGTTATAGTGTCTTTTTTTGGGGTTTTTTTTTTTTTTGTGTAATTTTAATTTATTAAAAAAATTACTAACTTCTTCTTTTTTATAATAAATTCAACTATTTTTGTATAATATTAAATGGTTTAATGATAAAAATTACCTTCAAACTACCACGATTTGACAATTTCGAACTTTTATTATCAATTTGAGTTAATTGGACTTCAAAATATATTTTTTTTAGCAAATACGATTCTTATCTATTATCTCTAAGAGTCAAAGGGTTGATTATCAATAGTCAATCCTTTGACTGTTCACATTTCAATTTTTTTAAAATAATTAACTTAGTCAAAATATGATTTACATAAGATTATATAGTAGTTCTTCATTACATTTCAAAATTAATCACACTCATAAAAAAAAATGAAAGTACATATAATCAAATAAAAAAAATAAAAGTACATATATTTAAATAAAAAAATAAAATTACAAACCCTAGATTGGAAATAAAATAAATATTTATGGTCGTATGATGGACAAGTCGGTATGCTAATGTATCAATTTAATGATTATGTCAGCATAAATTTAACAAAAATACTTGATTAGAAATAAAAAAGAATAGAAAATTTACATTAACGACAATCTAGTTAGTACTATATTTAAATATTTTATTTTATTTCTAATCTAATTAATTTAATAGTTATGTCAAAATAAATTTAACGGAAATACTTTATCAAAAAAAATTATATTAACAATAATCTAGTTAATATTAGATTTAAATATTTTATTTTATTTTTAATCTAGTTAATTTAATAGTTATTTCAACATGAATTTAATAGAAATACTTTGTTAGAACATTTATGCATTTATTCTTTTTATTTAAATATATGTACTTTTATTTTATTTTATTATTTTTACTTTCAATTTTTTTTTTTTTTTGTGTGTGTGTTATTAATTTTAAAATCTAATGAATAATTACTATACAATCTTATATAGACCATATTTTGAATAAATTAACTAAATTATTATTAAAAAAAAAAGATTGTTTTTTATCGTTAAAGATAATGGATAATAATTACATTTGTCAAAAGAATACTAGTTTGGAATTCAATTAATTTAAATTGAAAATAAAAACCAAAAATTATCAAATCATAGTAGTTTAGAGGTAATTTTTTTCATTAAACCAATCTTAAACTATTAAAGATATTATTAGTGTACTTAATTAGTAAAATTTATTAAAAATATATAAATTAAAATAAATTTATTTAATAATAATTGTTATTGTATTTACAATATCAATTCTCACAGCAATTATCTTACCGTCACAATGACTCACAATCCATCCCCACGGGCTCAGAAAATCAAAGTCGAAGTTACTAGTGAGAAAGTAACAAAACTTGTTAACAAGCTTATCGAATTTGTTAGGCCCAAAAAAGAAAAGGTTGCCCCATTTGAATAGAACCAATCACTCAATAAAACAAGCATGTTCTGGTCATCAAACAAAAAGGATTTCACACACATCGTAAGGGGATCAGAAAGAAGCAACTCAAGTAGAAGGTAAATGAAGCAAGGACGATTCTCTTAATCATTTCCTGATACAACAAATGAGTCTTATATGCTTACAATTAGGCATGTTCCCTTAATCAGTCAACATGAATGAAAAGGGTTATCAACTGAAACACACACACACACCCCTTATGAACTCATCAAACCTACATATCATACACAAACTGATGATAAAGTGACCGGAGAAGCGTCAACACGAATGAAAAGGGTTATCAACTAAAACACACTCTTCTGAACTCAAGCCCAAAGATCATACACAAACTGATGATAAAGTGATCAGCGAAGCATCTTGCTGGTAAGAACTAAGTAGCAAGTAAAGAAGCAACTTAGTGTACAGGTGACTGTACAAAGAGATTCTTGGATGCCTAAATTGAACACACAATGACTAGGCCTTCAAGACTTCCAGAACCATGCGGTCCTAGAAATTCAATATGTTGCTGGCCTAGATGAAGAGAACATACATAATAATAACGCACGGATCAAGAGGCTCGACATTAAAACCTAACTACTCATCATCATCCAACTCAACAAGTTGTGCTCGCCTCTCAGCAGCTTTCTTCCTAATAAAGAACCCCCACCTCATTGCTGCCTTGATCTTCAACCATCCCACAACAGCTTTACCTGGACGTGAGCGATCCTCATCATAGTTTGGCATTGGAGACGCCATGTAAGACGGGAATGAAAAACCATCTTCAGGTACATTCATTGAGGCATGGCCTCCCATACTGAAGAGTCGGAGCAAGTGTTGCATATCTTCATTCTCAAGCATCTCATGACTTCGGATGCGAATATCTTCCTCTGAAAAGAATTCCTCAGCGCCCTTATCCCGGTTGTTGGTCCATTCATCAAAAGGATTAAGATTAGTTGGCTGCATGGAAGAACCAATTGTTTGAAACCCTGAGGTAGATGACTGGGGAGGACCAAGGGCCAAGCCAACAACACTGTTATCATTTCTTGTGCTTGGGATTTGTTGAGGATTGCTGATCAAATGTTCATGTTGTGTGAATGAGTTGCTGTCAAACTGTGTGTGGGAATTAGGATTTACAAGCTGTGACTCTATCGAGTACCTTGTTCCCATATTATCGTTGTACCCTGTCGCTAGACAAGAACCCAAAAGGGAGAAACAGTAAACAATTGAGTGCCCAACTAAAACATAATTTCTAATTTGACAATCTGCAGTTAATAACGCTTACCTCCTGCTTGTAGGGCTGAATGAACAGAAGACTGCTCTGTTGGAACTGATGCTGGCAAGCGTGGTAGTTGCATCTGGTGGCCTGTAGGATTAGAGTAACCTATTTGACTGATCTGAAGTTCATTTTGGGATAAACTTGACCTTTTACTTTGCTTGAAGTCCAAAAGTGACTTGCCATCATACTCAATGACCTGATTCCAATTGTCATATGCTTTCTTCACCAATGTATCCACATACACCTGGAAATAACGTTTGATGAGTGAAATTATTTTATTTATTTATTTATTTACAAAAAAAAAGAAGGAAAAAGCCTATAGCTGCAAGCTCAAATCAAAATTGAAACAGGCCCAAGGAATAATTGCATTGCCATTTCATGAACCATTCAACTTGCCTAAAAGAAAAACCAATTCATGAAAACTCAAGACTTAAGATTGATAAAACTTAAATACAAAATATTTGGAAGTAGAATGGAATATTCAGAAAACTATGTGCTCATATGAAGAGATTGGGATCAATCAAGCAGGAAAAAAAAATTTGTTCATGAACTTTAGGAACCGATCACTCCCACCTTTCGTAACCAGAAGCGGTTTCTTCAAAAGTTGGAAGTCAAGTAATGTTTGCACAAAACAAGCAATGTCATTCAACCACACTGATTACTCTTCTTTCATACCTAATAAAATTGATTTTAAAAAATGTTTTGAAGTCTAATGATGGGCTTCTACATAGATTGGAGAGAACCATAAATTTGTGACATATACAAAATACTCACTTCATTTTCTTTCTTTTCAATTGAAAAAAGTACTTGGTATGTACAGAATATGCAAACTTAACAAATTTCCTTGTTTGATTTGGAAATCACAAGGGAAAAAAAAACATGAGCAATCAAGGAAAAATTACTTCATGAGGGGCAAAAAAATCAGAGAAGGAAACAAAACAAGCATTCGCAAATTGTTATCTGAGACAAGAAAGAAGAATATGATAACTGTTGGAAGATTAGAAGGAAAAAGCTTAGATTTATTGGGATTGATATCAGATTGATCTTAGGAAATCATTCCTAAGATCAGGGACATCAGATTTATTTTAGGAATTCCCTAAAATAAATCTGCTGTAGTTTAGGATATAATTAAGGAATATTGCTATGTAGGGATTTAATTTAGGAATACTCTTGTATATATATCCTAGTGATTTATGATGAAAGTAGATTGAATTTTCCTCCAAATCACTTCTCATTTCAATAACGAGAGAAACAATTTTGGGGCATTTGAACTATGAGACACGACTTCGTTATACTGCCATTCACAGTGGTATCTACCACATGGTAAACAAAATCATAAGACAGCATTGACTACACTTGATGGTAAAGCAAAACAGCTATTTATGAGTCAAATTTCAGCAAAAAATAAGATTCATTTGAACTGAAAATGTTAGCTTGGAAAACCAAGCAAATAGAGAGCATCACGTAGAGGTGGCAAATGAGATCAAGTAATAAAATAAGATACTCCATGCTCCCAAATTAAGCCAAGATATCAACTAGCAATTTACATATATCTGGTATGAGTAAGAAAGAGGACAAATAAGTAAATAGAAGTAAGAAAAGGGCAATATGATTGAAACTACTGGGTTGATGATATTACACGAGCTGAAGCAATGATGTTCATATACTGGTTTTAACAAACATGAAAGCATAAAACAAGACAGTTGAATTTTTTAATTAGAAAAATAAAAGAGTGTGCATGAGGCCAACCTTTTGCTCATTGGAAAGGGAATCAGCTGCGTAATACTGGTCCTCTGAAATAAGGCCATTCAGCTCATAGATGTCGTTGAAGACAACCCCAACGTTTCTTGAATCTTCAGGATAAAATACATATAGTTTTCCACTAAGGACGCAAGTCTTTGCATGCTCCAAGAGAGCCTCCCACATCTTATTTGACATGCCACTTCCCAGAATCTACATACAACAATTTTCTATATTAGAAGATGGGTACAAAGCACAAAATTCATAATTCAAGAACCGAGCCTCAGTCTCACTTACATTCCGTAATTTCTGAGAATCTTTGACCACAAGACGAAGGAAGTCTTCAACAATGAATATTCCTTGATTATTTAGCCTCTTGTGAAATGAACCATCCTTGCCAATTTTCTCCAATCTCCATACTTCATCATTCAGTGCAGGTGGATAGTGTTTCTTGTACACTGTCAATCAAGGGGGAAAAAAGAAGCAAATTCAACAAGAGTTTAAACAATAAAAATAATGAAGAGCAGCCAAGTAGCTCAACTGGCATTAGCGTCCCCCTCCCCCTAAGAGGTCTCGAGTTCGAACCTCCCCTTTATAACCAAAAAAATAATAACAACAACAATAATAATGAAGAGCAAAGCCATGAACTTACATTCCCCTCTGTGGTCTTTAACAGTAAAAGCTTCTGTCTTGGCCTCACGAATGCGTATGCCTTCACAAAACCCAGAAGCAACCTTCAAGCCAAGCCTGAACTTCCTGCTCCTTATCCAACTTGAGTTATCCGTAAATGTGAGATCTCCCAAAGTTCCAACCCCTTCTTTTAATGTTACTTGCAAGTCTCCAGTCAACAATGGTCTCTTTCCTTCACGCTCTTTTACAACATGGCTTTCAAATTCTTCTTGCATCCAGCCTTCATCAGCTTCATTGTTGAAATCACCTTCAACAACCACAACATCTAGTTTAACAAAGGCTTCTTGGCCAGAAGTTACAACATGTCCAGTGTTTGCATCAACCAAAACAATATGGATTGCAGCACCCTGCTCCCCCTCTACTTTTCCTCCTGTGAAAAGGGGCAGTGACAACCTAGACCTAAAGTGCAACTGCAAGTTCCTTCCATCTGGGCCTTCAATTCGCTTTGGGGAAGACCTGTCACGGATAAGAATAATAAACCACCCTTATGGATGAAACCATACATTTATTACAGCAAATGAAAATGACACTGATTATTGCTTTCATATATCAGAGCTACTAAAACACTGAAGATGTATCTACCAAAATTTACAAACAAGATAAATTGTTGCATGTATGACATCATCAAAACTTTGCTATCAATTCAATAGCAACAATCCTGCTAATGTACCAAATAGCGTCCACAGTTTGTTAGTCAACCAACAAAATTTAAAAACATAAAACTACCAGAAATTCAGTGCACAGTTTTTTTAACAAGAAAACTCCCATGTAAGTCACATAAGGCAAGACAAGATTCTATTTCAAACACCTTTAGTTGATTTCTCTATTATCAAGTACAAGTTTAGTAAACACTGAAGAATGAAAAAGAAAACCATAAAAGTTTGGCTCAAAATCAAAAAGTGAGCAACTGATACATAAAAAAACTGAACTATAACCATAGAGTGGACAAAATTATTATGTACCTTCCATTCAGTCTGGCAGGGCCTATCTTTGCTAAAGCACGCTCCACTTCCTCACTTACCTGTTTGGCATAAATAGCAATGCAGCAGTAAGAAGCCAAAAATAGCTGAGCACTCAAACAACGCTTGGAAAAAAAAAAAAAACGGCTGAACCCAACATGTTTAGACCAAACAAAAGTTTCCACACAACTGATAATAGCCATGTTAACCTAACATGTTTAGACCTCCTTTTTTCTATAAACTAATTTCTTGCATTCCATTATATTTGTTGTTAGTGGTGTTTAATGAATCAAATGGACATGTATCTACACCATATATACTCTTGTTCGAAAGATCTTTAAAGGTTCAAAAAGAATAAAAGGTTCCTAGGGATAAAACAAGGCTTGAGTATCCCAAAAAAGTAATGTCAATACTGTCCCTCTACCAAGTTGGAGATATCCAATTTATACACCGCAAATGTCCTTGAGGAGCCCATCGATGTTAGTTGTAATTTGTTGTTCTGCAGCTTTTGGGGGGGGGGGGGGGTGGTGGTTGTTGGATTTTGGGAGGTTGGGACGGTGCTCCAACACAATGAAACTAAGTCAGGGATTTTAGGAGCGTGATTAATCAAGAATATTTTAGCAGGATACAGGTTGCTTTCTACTTGGTAAGAGGTAACGATCTGATGCTGTTGGGGGTTTTCAATACTAAGCTCCTGGGCTAACAGCACCTTTGATGAATGAAGCAACTGTTCCTTGATGGTTCACTCTCAAGCACATCGACTGCATCTTATCTCTTTGGGAGAACCAGCCTTAATGCATTGTGAGTGAGACAATATAGCACACAATCAAAGTGACGCATCTTATCTCCAATTTGCTCATGAGATCATAGTGAGTGATTTTTAGAAACTTTGGGGTAATGCTGGGTCTTCATCCAATTCTCCTGATAAAAAAAAAAAAGCCCCTAAACTCGGATTTGATTATTCTGTCTCCAGTTTCATTAAGGTTTTTACAGATACAGCCACATTTAAATCATATTTATCAGCCCTCACGGAAGCAAAGCAGGAAATTAAAGTAAAAATCTTACAACTCTACGAAGAACCGGTTCCAACGATGAGCAGAGCTTCTGTAGACTATCCAACTTGAGAGCTTCGACAATTACACTGCAGAATGCAAATAAATTTACATTAAAGCTCAAGTCAAAGGGTCTATTAAGCAATGAGACACTTTAGACAGTAATCAAATTTAGAATCCAATAAAAATAAATGATACAAAGCCACTCTCAATAATGTACTATAATTTCAAACAAAAAAAAGTCAAGTTTGAGCAGGAAAAATTTAGGTTCGAAGAGGTGAAAAGCATTTAGAGATGATGCTCCTTTTCTGCATGCTACTGTTAAAGTATCATTAGTATTTTACCAATGTGCAATTTCAGACTCTGTCATTTTATTAACCACGATGCATGAGCATCCAAAAAGATTTTCATGGCCTAGTAGACACAATAATCTACTTGAGTGCGTAATTTTACTCATGAATTGTTACAGTCTGTTAGTGTGAGGGACAATAAAATTTTCACCAGTCTCTATTAAACAAGTCATGACCCATGAGATTAGCAAGTGACAGGATTTACATGGTTGAGTATATCTGTAAAATAGGGTTGAGATTTAGCCATAAGATTGGTACTGATAGCTCATAAGTGTCTCCGTATGCTCCAGGAAAAGTCAAAATTTGCTCAAAATGCAAGCCCAAAGGGAAAAAGATCAGATACTTTCGGTCACTATGTCTTGTAGGAAAGGATGCATGATGGGATACAGCATACTGATTCACTAACCAAGGAGAAGGGAAGGAAACTGATTTTGATTTTCCTTTCAATCCACTCCGTGTCAATCAAAGAAAAGGCTGAAAAGAACCCATATTCCAAGCTCCGCTGAACCTTAGTAGGAGAGAAGGATTAAGCCACCCCCACCCTAGACTTTGTTAATCCGGCTTAGAAGATTTATTAACAATTCACAGGAAAAAGAAAATCGAAAAACACTGGGTTGATAGGCTTTGGCATCTTTCAATCACCCACCCATTTCAAGCATCCAAATACACAGCTATGCTGACAAACTTTAACACCTATTTAGGTCAAAAAATGAATTCACTCAAAAGTGATCCAGTAGTAGCTTTAAAGTGGTTGAACAGAACCAAATTTAAAGTTTTAATGCAATCAAACGAGCACCAAAATTGAGAGTCAACACAATTCAACAAATAATTCAATTTTTTTCCAATTAGACCAACATTAGATTAAACCAACAATTGTCTAAATTTAAACTGAAAATTACTTAAATTAACATTCAAAACAACTAATAGTTCACAAAAACAAGAAAACCCACAAATTTATGGTTTTATTTCTTTAATTATACCTAGCTAAAGCAGGTCTTTTACGCTCAGGCTGCTGCTCCTCGTCTGCTCCACAACCTTCTAAGCTCCTCTTCCTTCTAGCCATACTATTAGTTCTCTCCATATACCTCGTATGCATTTCTCAAAACCCTAACTTCTTCTTAGATCTGCAAAATACCTTACAATTTCACTCTATCAATCAATCAAAAAGCCTAACTATCACGCAACAGACAGATCCAGCTCAATTACCACCGAAAAAACGTTCAATCCCAAATTTAGAAACCAACAATAACAACTACACAAAATAAAGTGGAAGAGAAAGTGTTTTTTCTCAAATTTTCTCGGAAACCAAACAGATTTTGCCACTAAGAGTAATAAATAAAGCGGGAAATAAAACCTGAGAGTAGTAGATAATTTCCCGACCCCAAGTCCTTAGCGTTCCAGTTATACCTTTAGAGTTTAAAGTTTTCTAATATTATCCTTCTAGTTTTCAAACATTTCAATGTTAACCCTGAGAAAAGCGCAAAATTGAAAACTTTTCAAAAACTATAAGGGTACAATTAAAATATTATTAATTAAAAGAGTAGAAGTGGAAAATCTAATGAATCTACAAGGGTAAAAATATAGTTTACCGAGATTTGGAGTATTGTTTTGTTTTGTTAGTCTATTGGTCCACTCTGGCGACTCTAAAAGAGAAAGAAGAGAGAACGATCACGCAGTTTAAGCTATTCTATCCGGTGACGCAGATGGGGATGACTTTTTGCTTAAGCTTGTTTTCTTTTGATAAAGTATATTTTAGCCCTCTATATATTATAAAATTCCCAACTTGATCCGTATAATTTAATATTTCTACCTCATTTGTGAAATAGTGTGCTTAAGCTAATTGAAAAAATTCCACTTGTTCCATCTTTTTCTTTCATTATTCTTATTCTTGTCTTGGCACACCAAACCCTCGCGCATGCAATGATACCTTCAAAATCCATCTTTTTTATTAAAAAAAAAATTATCATGTGTACCAATTATATACCCGTGTATATTTAAATATAAAAGTTAACGACAGTCTCTCCGTTGGAATATATTGTCTATTTTTCTACTTACATTTGTTTCGAAACATTTATTTTGTCAAATATATTTGTCTCTGGATATCTATTTTTTCAAATTTTAAAATAATATATTTTTAAAAAATATTTTTAATCGATAAAAAAATCAATTTTTTGTTTCATTTTCTATTCTTCACTAACCAAAAAAAAAAAAAACAATAATTTTTTTGTATTTTTCTTTTATACATACAAAGACTTTTAATATAAAAACTTTAGAGAATAATTTTTTGTTACATAAAAAATATTCATTCTTTCGAACTTTACCGTATGTCGAAGTTTTAGAAGTAAAATATTTTCTTAATATGTTTGTTTTTCATAATTATTTTAAACTTGATTGTTATCTAATTTATGATTTTTTTATTTACCACTTTAAATTTGGATAGATTTTCTTCTTAAATTAATATTGGTTCCATATAATGCAGAATTAAATTTAATAACTAACAATTATACTAAAAACTTATTTTAAAAAGTATGAATAAAAAATATTGATATAGCATAAATAATTAATAAATTTCTTAAATTGGATGAAAGTTAAAGAAAATGATCTCTTTGAAACAGAAGGAGTACATAATTACACAGCACTTTTTATATTTTCATGTAGCTCTAAATAATCTACAAAACTAAAATATCTTTTGGTTACTAGAAATAAAAAATTTTGAATTAAAATGGAAAAATCAAAATGGATATTAAGAAATCAAAATGGCATTTTCATTCCAATATTGTGTTTAAAATACTGATAAAAAATTTAAAAATTTTCAATATTTGATTTTAAAATAAATAAGAATAATAATTAAAAATAATTTTATTAACTATACTTGTAGTAAAAATAATAAAGGTAATCGAGATTGATAATGATGATCGTAGAAGAGGAGATGATGATGGTGATAGTAGTATATCGGTAATAGTAATATATTTTAAAAATATTGTTACCACCTCCGAGTGGCAACGGTTGTAGTAGTGATATCGGTAGTAAAAATAGTGATGATGATAAATATAGTTAATACATAATAAATAAAAATGATATATTACTATTAAAAAAATCAATCTCTTTCTTTATTTTTATTCTCACCTCTCCCTTGAAAATAAAATTATGTATAATTTTTATTCTCATTCTCACTTTAATATTTTCAACAAAATACATACATAGTAAGAATAAAAAATTTATTTTTATTACTACCATTTTATTTCTTATTACAAAACCTTATCTAAAAGTCTATTTGGTATGTTTTATGAAAAATAAATTTCGATTTTTGAGTCATAATTTAAAAGTTGTTTTTTATTAATAATTCATGACAAAAATAAGTTAAATTATAAGTATATTAGGTAAAAGATGACTCAAAACAACTTTTTAAAAAAAAGATGGTATAAGTTAGAAAATTGTGACTCATTTTGCAAGAAATTTTCTATTTAAGTCAAAAAGTATTTTTAACCAAATATAGTTATGAATTTTTTCAATCAGAAGTTAAAAAACAATAGTGGAGTTTGTCTTTATCATTGGATTGTTGTTCGAGTGTGTGAGGTTTGTTTAGATCCAAGGCTTGGGATCGTCCGAGAGAGGGACCAATCGTCAGATTAGGCCTGCATTTATTGAAGAGGTTTTGATGGTACATGCCAAGCCACTTCAATGGATATTTTTTGGTTTCAGTGACATCACTCTTACGACGTCATCTGTTTCTTTCGAGAAATGTTGTTTTCTCTCGCTTTATTGTTTTCATATAAAAAAAGGTCAAAGTTTTCTTGGACAAGATTCCTCCTTTAATAAATAAGGTGGGGCCCTTTTTTTTTTTTTCCTCATTTTTCTTAAGAATAGAAAATTGGAACGGCCCATGTGCTTACAAGCCTAATCCTTATGCAAAGATGCTATAAGAAACTCAATAAAAAATTGAAAATATTAATTATCCAAACAAGGAATTTACATAGGGAATTTGTCTAGATTGATATGAAGATTTTCTTATTATATATATATATATATGAAGCTGTTGTATGTTCCACAATTTCAAGCTCCATTAAGCAAAGTATATGTGTGAAGCTTAAAAAAGACAAGCATCAAGAACTGGTGGTGGTATACGGTGCAAGATATTGATAACATTTTTAAGAAATTTTTTTAACCTAATGTGTTGGTGCTTGTCAGTGCCAATGTTTGAACCCTAAAACCTGGTTGCTAGGGTTTGCAACCAAACACCCAACGACGAGGCCCAGGGAACATTGGTTGTCGCTTTTCATGAACATCCATCATGCAGGAATCTTTTTCTTTTTAAATCATAGAGCGAGCTGTGAATTTAAGATTTAGTAATACCTTTCACTAATTATTATTAAGAAGAAAACACTTTAAATTATTGAATTGAACAAATTAATACAACACCTATCATAAGAAGCCACATCAATTTTTTAATTAAAAAAACATTATTATATTTGCATCACTAGGGTTATTCATATGGAATCATAAAGCATTCTGGTTTACTATTTTCGAAAGAAAAAATAAATAATTACCACACTTCCATAATTAGCAGGAAGACGGCTGTTCTTGAACTTGGTTGAATTCTTCAAGTCTTGTGTAAAGTTTAATGAGTAGTGATGTGCAGATCTCAGGAGATGTGCATGGCCCACACATGAGATATATGACATTACCCAAAGGCCTCATGTAAACTCCATCTTCACGGAGCTTCTGAAGAAGAGAGCGGCCATAGAGAGATGCATACCTAAAAAATAAAAATAAAAATATCACTGGCTCTATCAAACAAATGTTGATAGAAGAAATCCAGAGAATTATCAAGTTTTAGCCCAAAAAAAAAAAAAAAAAAGGACACAAATCATTTTGATATCTCTGATGAATTCACTACAAAGGGATATGGAATTACTTTCAGAAAAAGAAGAAGAAGAAGAAGCTGCATACCTTGGCACGTAGTCATTCGAGATAATTAATGGTATTAAGCACAAAAAAAGCTATGATCGTGTGTTAAAGAAAGAGTGAAACTAATAAAAAATGAACTGATTTCTTGACAAAAATGCATGACACCTCATCTCTTCAAACACTACTGATACAACTAAAGATGATATTCATGCTAACTTGCTATACAAGTGTGGACGTGGCTGAACAAAATTGTCAGGGCCAAGTGTCAGACAACCGTAATTGGTTAAGGCTAAGTGTCAGAAACCCCAAGTATTCTTAGAAGTATACCAAACACGTCGGAGCGTGAGCCCAAACACAATGATCTGTCAAAATGAGATACCATAGCATCAAACATAGACTATACTAAGCAGCTACACTTAGAACATTGAGTGGTTGAAATATCATGCAATAATCACAATTTAGGGATCATCTTTTGGAGAATAAAATCGTTATAATGAAGTTTCTTGCTTCCACTTGTTAGAAACATTGTGATCCACTATCAATATAGCAGTCGGGAGTGTAAATGAATCCATGCTGAACATATAAATACATTTTAATGCCCAGAACCACAACTGTTGGATAACTATGAAAGTCATTCAAGGCCAAAAAGTACATAAAGGTAAGCTAATGCGATCATACCCGACATTATGCCCTTCTGCTCTTAGTTCTAGAGCAAAAAGAGTGCCCAATGCTATCACTCTTGCAACAGAAGGATGTGATGAGATCTGTTGCACCAGTTCCGCATTCCATAACTGCAAACATTAAATGCAAAAATATGGGAAGAAATTCATTAATGACATGCAGATCACCATTATTTCATCATTGGGAAAAATTAGCCTTGAATGGTTTGAAACATAACCTGTTTTCGGTGTGTCTAAGAAAAACTAAAGGGGAACAATAACCAAAAGAAGTATGGTCATGTAAATCATTTGAAGATGACTATGTGCTGAGGAGGGAAGCCTTATATGACTGAATTAGAAGTAAGTCAAATATATTTTTGTCTCAATACAGCAATTGTTGAGACAGTATATCATTCACATTCTAGATGTCAGATCTTAAAGGTTTAAATAATTGCTGCATTCTGAATCAGATCAAATTCCGAAATTTCAACTCACATGTCGAGTTTAAATGAGAGCATGGAATGCTGCCCTGCCTAAGGTTTTGGTTTAGGAATGGCAACTATGTCAGTATCACAAATTAGGCATTTTATGCATTCCAGATCATGGAAACTGTCAAAAATCAACTTTTAGAAGCTGGTATGCAATGAGGAAATGAAAACAAATGAATTGTACATACCTCCCTAAGCAATTTTTGTCCAGAAATAATATTATGATTTGTTTGAGGATCCTTAAACCATTTAATTGACTTAGCAGCTGCCGAGCACCCCATAGCATGAGCAGAGTACGAGTGTCCGTGCAAAAGGGCTTTGAGCTACAGCCAGAATCAAATAAATGTAAGCAATTTCTTTATACAGTCTAGGTTACACAGTAAGGAATTTTTTGGCACAGGCATCCATAATAAATGAAGGATACAGATAGGAATGATTATTCAAATTTGTAAGTTGGTTCTTGAAGAAAAAGGTATCAAATTCTTGATCACAAATTTTACTTTCACAACCACATGGCAAACCTTGTAACTCAAAGTTCAATGAACTTTAGACTGCTTAAACTTCAGATTGAATTAACTAGCATAATATTCGAAGATAAAATCCTTTGGAACTTAAACTCATTAAGCTAGTTGAGAAGTTTGAGCCACAGAAAGTAAAAAGAAAATGGCATATGGTTCTACTTTGGCAAAAATGTGAAGTAAACATCAACTAAGGTTTCATCCATGATATTAAGGAAATAATTGAGTAGGAAAAAACAATTCAATGCATAGAAGCCACATCTCAATCACATTTAGATCACTAGCATTAGTGGCCTCAGATCCTGATGTCTGTATTGTGAATTAATGCAATGAGGAATAACATAGCACGCAATATGAAAAGCCACAAGAATAATCTCACTAATTCACCCGGTCAACTTCCAAAGCAAACATAGGTGCCTTTAGTATCAAACAAACCCACAGCAACATCTTACCTTTGATTCTCCAAGAAAAGAATCAAAAACTGCATCTGTGGCCAATGTGGCAGCCAAGGGTACAACCCCGCCAGTCATCAGCTTTGCAAAGCAGGCTATATCAGGTACACAACCAAGTAGTTCTGCTGCAGTCTGTTAAAAACAGGGCACTTTTAAGAATGTGGATGAAATGTATGTATTTAAACACTTCTATTAAATTGAATGAAAGTGACAGGGAAAGCAGAAAGAACAAGAAAGGAACAGATGAGAATAAGATACAAGGGATACCAACCTCGGTTCCAAGACGCCAAAAACCTGTGAAAACTTCATCAAATATAACTGGAATATTTCTATTTCGGCACTCACTGACAAGCACCCTTTGGAAAAGTGGATCAATCATAAGCATTCCACCAGAACCTTGTATAACTGCAAAATAGTGTGAATCCAATTAGACAAAGACCATTTAAAACCATATTGAAATTCATGATTTCATCAAACCCAGAACTCATGCCAAACAAATGGCACTTGTGCACAGGCCACAGGGAAGACCAGGCATTTACAGTTCCTATTAAGTAGGCGTTTCCATTATATGGTTGTTGCAAGGCAAATACAAGACTCAATAGGCTAAAGTGTACGAGAGTGTGAGTACGTGAATTTAAGTCTTTGATATTAAGTTCCAAACCAACTGAATGAAATGCTGGGGAGTCAACATAAAAGAAAGTTTCGAAACATTGTTGGCCTAGAATCAAAGGGCACTGTAAAAATTCATCAGGCCAAGGGAATAAAATATTCTGAACCATTTTAGTTTCCAAAATTTTTCATACAAACCACATAGATTTTTTGAAGGATTTACAGAATACAGAACTCATTAGAAAACTCTAGATGATTCACATAATTCAGGTTAACTATGCTGATGAAGGGTTATGTCTAATACAAACAACATCTGCTCTCGCAGGAATTTACTAGAGTCCCTGAAACTCAAGGCAGAATTCTTTTATGATGCCACATGCCCTTTTCAACAACAAGAAATGAAATAAGATATCAAGAAACCATCAATTGACTTCTGAAGCAACACAACTCAAAGATGAAATTAAAAATAAATAAAGAAAGAAACAAAGAAAATTGGCCACAAGGGGACAGAAGCCCCTTAACCTGGTTTTCATACACGCATGTTGCACAGGTGGGGCTGGTACTGTATAAGACAGGCAATCTCATAATCCACCCACTTGTCTTTGGAATTGTATAATAAATGATAAATCATTTAAAAGCTGTAATATCAAAACTGCATGACGAAATATAACATTAACAAATTCAAAAAAGAAATCAAGTACCAAATACTAATAATTCTCTTGCCTGGTTCTATAATCAATGCTCCAATATAGGTAGATTCTTTTAATCCAGAGTATTGTGATAATTTTTGCGATATATATGAAGAATAAACTCCAGCAAAATCTGATTTGTTCCTGCTCTTGTCAAATATTTTATCACGAGTGCTGAAGGCTGCAAATGTCAGTGGACATCAGGAAGCATTCTTAAAAGGCGATAGAGAATAACAGTACCCAATATAAAAACTAAAAAGTACACTATAAAAGTTTACTTACTCATGCCTTTATCAATCATATATTCACAAAGCATTCCCTCAGGTAAAGAAAGATTCCATATGCTATTGGACATGGACACTGTAGGAGGGTCTAGAAAAAGCCCTCTTCCTGTGTACCTGTGAACATGCATGAGGTAAGTAAAAGATAAATTAATTCACAGATAATTAACCTCATTTTTTTTTCTTGCACACGGAAAACCAATATGCAAAAATGAATTGCACGTTGAGGTGTATTGATGCCTGATTCTTATAGAACCAGGTATAATCTTGAGACCAAAATAATTACAGAAGGATCTACGGAGCATTGAACCTAAAGAAAAGAACTTAGAACCCCAAGCCAAATTTTCAATAGAGACTTTGCATAATTTGCTCCAATCCAATTCCCTTCTCCTTGTTGTAAGGTTCATTAACACATTTTCCTTGCATAAGCATTACATTTCCAAAATCTGAAAAATTCTCCTTGTTCCACGCATAATATTCACATTTGGTATTCAAATATGAAAAAATGCATGTTCTAGATTCAACTTGAACTTAAAGAAAAAAACAAAATGTTAAGTTATTTTCACTTGGAATAGCAGAGACCTCTCCATGCAATTACAAAAACGCCTTGAATCCATAGCACCAGATCGTCTCCTCAACTTTAGAAGGCAGACGAAGAAGCATTATCCATTACATAGGCATCAATATTACAGCTACCCCAAAGCATCAATGCCATCACTCACACCACTGCAGGATCTGCGCTATCTACTCTGAATTACTATCTTCCTACATTGCTGATTTTCGGAGTTCTACACAGTGCAAAATCAAGCCTAGCTGCCAAAACCACTGATGACCTGAAGCACCAAAACTATCACCACATAATTTCAACATTTACCTTCCAATTAGTTATTCTAACAATCCACTTCACATTTCAGGCAATCTAATAAATGTGCCCTCACTGCATGATCATTCACTCTTTTCCTCGTTGACAACAGCTAAACAACCAGCACTCATTGACATGAACCAACTCAAGCTTTGCCAGGGGTACTCAAACTCTGCCCATTAATTCAAAGCAGTCTTGCATAATTTCCATTTTTGTGACTGAAGTTACCATAAGTCTATTTGTACCCCTTGATTTTCAATGTGGAATATTCATTCAAAAACACGGAAACTTTTCAGTGCAGGATATGTTTCAGCTACTCAACCATTTTGAAGCGACACACCATATTCATTCCTTTGACAACCAATAGTGAAAAGGACTTTTGGTCAGTGTATAAAAAATGCTCTTTTCAAATCGCTAGTGCTATATGGTCATTTTATGAGTTCAAGTGATGCTTAGCAACTTGTTCTAGAAATCGAATCACCACATCTCATGATCTAAATGATTGTATTACTTTTCATCTCAATAATCCTAATAAACCTGCTAGCTAAGTTAATAGTCCGCTAAAAGCAATTGCATTGCCATTCACAGGCTATAGAATATATTGATGTGCTGCAGGAAACATAAATACAGCTACTCTGATTTGGAGCTCAACTTGCTAGCCTAGAAATTATCCAAGAGAAAAAAGTATTAAGTTGCTGGAGATTAGCTCATTTATTTTACAAGTTGCATAATATGCAAATGCTATACTTACCAAGAGGATTCCAAGCCAGCTCAATTCCCTTGTTTTGTCTTATTAATTTCTATGAAACAGAGGAGAAAACTAACTAGGATATACATCAGAGTGATCCAAAAGTCTAGGAAGGATTTAATAGTTTAAGAGCTATGTTTTTTAACAACGATATGGAAGTCATGCATAGCAGCTATTTCTCTGCACGTGAATTGTCACAATTAAGCCTCATTTTGTGACAACTACTTCCATTTTGCTCATCACCCTATAATTTTTCAATCCTAAATGAATGGTTTCAACATCAATGAGACTTGGATGTGCAAGAGCACTAATAAGGAAAGCATAGCCCCAAAACTTGAAACTTCTGAATTAAAATAGTTCTATTCATCATAAATGTGCTTCTAGTATTCTAGGACCAAAAAATTTCCTACCATGGCTGCTGAAGGAAGCCTGTATAAGATGATGGTGCTTGTGCTTCCATTGCACCCAAAGTGTCACCATGATAAGATCCTTTGAGAGCCAATACCTGAAATAAAACCACACCTAAATTACCAGCAATTGTATGGAGAAACCTCATTCCAAATGTAAAAAGTACATAGATTTATGCTTTAGATTTGTAATAACTATCATGTATAATAGAAATGTAGCTACCCTAAGATAATTCAGCCAATTTAATCAAAGCAGTGTCAAGACAGGCTGCAAGTAGTTCAGTTTTTACCTCTAAGAGCAAGAATGCTTTACTTACCATATACAAACAGGTATTGCAAAAAGAAAGAAAAACGGCACTTAATGCGCAAATATGCATGTTTCATCTACTGAGCTTAGACCATATGCCAGAATCGTGTGTGTGCTAATAGCAACTAGGTATATTAAGCAGACTAAAGAACTATCTCACATGGTGTGATTGTCACATTGGAATGATAGACAAAAAAAAAAGTGCCGTAGTGTAAAGCTACATTTTAAAAATGAAAAACCGTGATAAACAAGACATTTGCACAGCTAAATTTGAACCTGAAACACACCCAGCATGGACAAATGGTCAGATTTCAACGCCACTTGCTCAACTACTATTCACCTAGAATGTTTTTATTTTTGACAAAAACATAAGTGAGGGACTCATTCTACAACTGCTAGATCCAAGGCAAATTGTGCTGAAAGTATGAACATTGTTTAAAACATCCCTACTAGCAACTACCAATCTGAAAGAAAAGAAAATTAACCTAATTGGGAAAAAAATTTCAGTAACCAGAAATACCCTTTTTTTTTCTGAAACCAAAATTTATAGCATTGTTAAGAAAAGATAGCTGGAAAGTTATACTGAAAGATGTAAGGATTATTTAGGCACACCTTTAGTTGGACAGATTTGTCAGTTCTGTTATTTCTGGGAAAATCCAGGAGGAGTCCGTTATCAAAGGAAAATTTGCGAAATGCCATTTTGAGAGCAATTTCGATTGCCGTGGATCCATTATCTGAATAGTATGTCCTTGAAGCCCACCCTGCAAAAGTACAAATCCTAGATAATAAGGTGGGTCCATCTACCATACATTAAGAAAAAAGATAATTATGAAACAGTTCAAAATGGACAACTTTAATGCATTTTACAAATCCTAGATAATAAGTTGGCTCTATCTACCATACATTAAGAAAAAAGATAATTATGAAACAGTTCAAAATGGATTATGAAACAGTTCAAAATGGACAGCTTTAATGCAGTTTAAAAGTTAAGCATACGTTATAGATAGAAAAAAAAGACATGCTATCATGTCTGTAACACCAGGCACGTAAGGAATAATTTACGTTCACTGTTAATTAAGCATGAGTTAATCGACAGGAAGAAACTAATTATATTATGTCGTTAAAATGCTGAAAAAATTCAAAGGCAGAATTTAAATACTAACCTTTGCCCACACCCTCAAGCAAAAGCTCTGCACATTCCAATGCTGGCTCGTAAACATTCTCTGGAAACATTACATGACCATATCTTGCAGCAGTATAACCCATATCTCTTGCAAGCTCAGTCTGAAACCACCTAAAAAAGTAACCACATTAAAGAACTTCAAAAAAGCGACCAAATGGTGCAGAGAAAATGAAACTTTAATCTAAGAGAACATAGTTTGGAAGGTATATGCCAAAAGCTCTAGCATTCATGAGATTATTAGGTGAGCACGGCTCACCATTCACCTACACTGACAAAGCGGCGGGTCCAGAGTTGCTTTTCTGTAGGGCATTCGTAATTTATGTGAGTGGGTGTTCCCTAAATCCCCTCCCCAATCCTCCAAAAAAAAAAAAAAAAACAACAGAAGAATAAAAGAAAATGAAAACCTGCCATACGACATGCTTCTGGCCAGTTAATACTTTTTCGTTATCACATACCTTTTCATTGTACATTTATGTGTGCAAACCTTTTTTTTATTATTATCAGAACTGTTTAGGCACAGATTCTGAATTCTGATTATGTGGCAAACAGTTGTTAATACATTTTTTCCAGTTATGCTCTGTCATAAATCTTTATCCCGCATATGAATAAGCAATAGAGCTTGTAAAGAGGACCATATGAATAGGATAGCTTATTTACAAGCAGGTGAGTCAATAACTAAGACAAAGTGCAACCTTAACAAAAGGCCGTAGCCACCCCACATTTTATGAATGCTGTTGTGTATTCCTCAGGTTCTTCCTAATAGGCTCTTCATCCACTAATTGGCGCATTCCAGAAGAGAAGTTCCCAATAATCCAGAGAAACAGTTAAAAGAATCCTGTGTACCAAACGATTTTCAGAAGTCCTCAAGGAAGGAACTTCCACTATTATAAAAAATAATTTTTCTACACTTTCCATAAAGCAATGACCTCCAGCAACAGAAAGGAAAAGGGCAACACTAATTCAAATGACAGAAACATATTTGCATACAAATGTAAACCTACAAATCATTTCCAGACTAGCCAAATCCAAACGCACCAATAACTTTACATCTTAAATATTTTTAAAAGACAATATAATTCCAAATGACAATAAACTCTCTCACTCCATGCTCAATTGCTCCTGCAACAATATCCCTTAGGCTAAGAAGAGCCAAATTAACAGAATTTCTCTACTTGCTTGTACATAAAATTGCTTTTTTTAATGTTAATTTCCGTTTAAAAAATAGTTAATTTGTACTCTGTCTTGTTAATTACAGCTAAATTTGCTAATAGTTTTGAGTGCATAGAAGATGGCACTCCACTCCCACAGGATACAAGCTTACCATTTAGTACACAAAATTCTATCCTGATGTCCCACAGGTGCATTTGCATCAGTAGAACTAACTAAATCAATGTGTAAAAAGGAAAAATACATCATTTGAACACAATTAGCATTCACATAGATAAATTGGTATCTACAATAGAAAAGAAAAGTCAGAAACAACAATTTAAAAATAGCTTCTAAATGCAGATTATGGCTGTCAATGGACCCTCTGAGAAAGGCTAGTTCCCAAGAAAAACAGCAAGAATAGATTACAAGAGAATTTTACGCCAGTGGATCATGAGAATAATTTGGGAGGGGGTGGGGTGCAGGTGTGGGGCGTGTTGGTGGATCCCATTAATCAACTAGCTTATGATTTTCTTGCAACTTATTCTTGTTTTTTCTTTTGAAATAGCATTTCCCACCCTTAAAACAATTGACTTTTTCCTAAAGAAGCTTGCATCAGGAATTAAAACATATTAAAATAGGAATCTGTAACAAGAGTAGAAAAGCAGTCATGTGCCATAAAGCTGACCTGCATGGTAGCATCAGGTCCTTGAGTCCACCAACTAGCACATGCATCAAATTGTTGAGTAATGAACTGATTGTCCTGGTCCTGAAATTGGAGCAGAAAAAAAAAATTTAAAAAAGGCTGTAGAAGCTTAGAGAAATAGTTATTTACATCAGAAAATAATTTAGCACCAAACAAGAAAGGTGAGAACATTTTGCATATAACAAAATTGCAGTATTTGTTAGTACACAGCACATTTGCTCAGTTCGTAGGTTTAAAAAAAAAAAGGCATTTGTTCACTTACTTAAAAGCCCATGCAAATTTTTTTTTTTAGTTGTAGGGTATTCCATAATATAAGTTCAAAGTACCTAAGTGAGAGATGCGTTTTTTGGCAACACTAACCTTGTAAATGGCAAAGTTCTCGCCACATCTTGAATCAATAACAGTAACAGTCTCTTCCGGTACAAGTTTGTGCTGAGTAAATGGCCACCACAAAATGTCTCCTGCCTTTTTTGGCATGCCATTCAATCTCTGAATTCTTTCTGAAAAAGCTGATAGCATTATTTCCTTCAGAGAATTAAATGCTTTATCAGAATCACCAAACCATTCCAACAAGTCATTTGACACATCTAGTGGCACAGGAGGCAGCACAATTACAGGAACCCTAGAAAAATACAAGAGGAAACGGGAACAAAAATCAACTTAAGTAGACAAAAGTGATATCACAATCATGTAGGTATCTGATGCATAACAATATTGCAGTCAAGAAATAATTGATTCAAAATTATCCAGGTCAGAAGAAGAATGATTAAAATTACCTATTTCGCAAATATGACAATAATGCCACCTCATTAACAAGGCCATGATCTTCTAAAACAACAGCAACAATATCATACCCTCGAAGTTTTAAACTCTCATAAGTTGTAATGGTTCCAGAAATACCACCTAGCCGCCCATCTCCCATAAGAACACCAGGTAAGCGAAAAGGCCTGCTGACATAGATGACAAAGAAATAAATTGAAGAAGGAGAATATCAATATGATATTTTATCTATCTATGTAAATGACTGTCAACATTGTTATTGCTGTTGAGTGACTGTTGGAGTTGGAATATACTTAAAGACTGTCCTTTTGTAAGATAACTGAGATATGCAATTCTGCAACCAGGCTACCACAGTGAAACCATACGTTTAAACTGTTTCCAAAGTCATTTCCACAAAATGCAAATATCTTAGTAAACCCGATTCCTTTCTGCCATGTAACAGGAACCTCCAAAAAAAAAAACTGTCTGCAAGCTTTCTTCGTTTAATGATGTCATATCTAGTGCATATTCTCTGTGAGACACAAAATGCGCACAATCAACTCAACTAAATTTTGTCCCAAATTCGTTTGGTTGACTTTGAAAATTCATTTCCTACATTCTGCTGTCGTGTATCCTGTAAGATAAAAAATGCACAAATTCAACCCAGCCAACTTTTTGTCCCAACCACCAAACTAGATTGGTTGATTACATAAATTCTTTTCATTCCTTCCATCATATCATGTATTCTCTGTGAGATACCAAATGCACGTATCAAATACCAAAAGATTAAATTCTTGTCACTTTTTTTGCAAAAGCACATGCCTGAAATGAACAAATATCACGTATATTCAGGTTCCAATGCAAAAAACAGGCACAATCACCAAGCAAGATATTCATATTCACTGCCGACTTGTAGCTGGGTCTTTTTTTTTTTTTTTCAGTTCTTTGGGTGGTAAGAGTAGGACTTGAATTCGAGACCTTACTTCCTCTCCTTTAGGGAGAACAGCATAGCAGGTACTTAGTTTCATTGCTAGGATGATTTGCTACATGCCACTTCTCATTTAGTTACATTGCTAACAAACCAATTTTCAAGGGTACCTTAGATCTTTATTGAACAAAAAGATAAAAAAAAACCCACAAGTAGTCTTCACTGGTGAGTAAGATTAACATGTAAAAATAACATCAAGAAAGTCCAGCCTGAAATCACAAGCTTCATTCGAAGTCAACAGAGAACCAAAGACATCAATTGTACAACGTTGAACAAAATCCTGATTCCCAATCAATAGTAATCAAATGTGTTAATGCTATAACCAGCAATAGATAATTAGCATTCATTAACATGAGAGAATGACCACATACCGGTACAAGTCACACTGTAAGGTCCCGGATGGACCTGGACTTGCAACGCCACCAGCAGTCTCAACCACGCAAAAAACGTTCGTTCCCTCGTTTCTATCCTCTTCTTTTCTCAAACACTTCTCTAAAGCCTCCAAAACTAAAGAATCCTCCACCACTCCATTCTCTTTCTCTGCCGCCAAATGTGGCGAAACGGCCTCCTTCCACGCATACAAGGTTTCGCAAACTAACTCCGAAACCTCATTAACCCCATCTTTCACAAACCTGTTCTCCTCAGTAAAATTCAAATTATAAATCCCTGAATTCCGACCCTTGGTCTTAGAATCGTCGCCAAAGAGGGAATTGGCAGCGGAGAGGGAGGAATTGAGGACGGAATTGGAGGCAAAGAGAGACAGAGAGGAGCGGTGTGAAGCGAGGGAGGAGAGTTTAGAAAAGACAAAATGGGAATCGGAATCGGAAGGGAAACCAGTTTGGATTGGTTTGAGGTAGACAAATTTGCGTGTTTTTTTGGTGGTGCGAGGAGAGTGGAGGAAGGAAGAGGCGAGGCCGGTGGAAATTAGGGTTTTGCCGAGGGAAGTGTTAGAGCCCCATATCATATAGGTTGGGAAGGAGAGTGGAAGGTGTAATGGCTGTGAGGTAGTTGTGGAGAGGAATTTGCGGTGGATGAGGAGGAGAGAGTGGTAGCGGCTGCGGCGGTGGCGATGGAAGAGCATGGCGACTGATGAGGTAGAGAAACGCTAGAGCCACAGGGTGAGTTACGGAAGAGAGTAGAGAGTGATGTAACGGCTAAAGAGCGTACCAAAATTTGAAATGTGGAGGGTGATGTGGGGCCGGTTTTTGAAAGAGCGTACCAAAATTTGAAATGTGGTGGGTGGTGTGGGGGCGGGTTTTGATTGGCAAGACCTGGCTGTTTTTGTCTTTTCAAGGGAAGGGAAGGGTAGGTAATAACGGATGGTTGTTTAAGCTGGCCGCCCTTACCTACTTTCCTTAGATCAATAACTCAAAGAAACGGGTAGGTAATAACAGGCGGGTTTTGATTATAAATTAGTCCCTCTTATTCAAAGAAACGAATTAATTAATCTTTTTCTTTTCAAAAATAATTATTTAGTTTTTTACATTTTAATTTCATCAATAATTTAATTTTTTTATCAATTTTTCATTAGATCAGTAATTTTTATTCTCAAATTGCCTATTTTTTGATTTTTAGTTGAGAAGAGAGAAAACGAATGGGTTAAGAAGATAAATGAAACATATAAGGAACGACATTTGAGGAGAAAAAATCTTTAATCTAACAAAAATTTGATAAAATGACTAAGTTATTGATAAAATTAAAACATAAAAAACTAATAATTAATTTTTAAAATAAGAATAACTAATTTAAAATTTGCTCATTTTCTTATGGTGAAACCTTAAAAATATCATTTAATTATATAGGTAGTTTCAATGTTATCACCAAATAATTTTTTATACTAATTTTATCATCAAAGTTTTATAAATTTTAATTAAGAATGTCTATCTATTTTGTAGGTTTTTGTTCATATTTCATCCAAATTGTACTTTAAAAAAAATAACATCATTTTTTAAAACATATTTTTAAGTAATTATAACAAAAGTTCTTAATTGAAAAGAAAAATAGTTTAGTGATAAAATTGATATAAAAATAGTTTGAATGTAAAATTGATAATGTCCCACTAGTTTGGTGGTATATTTAATGTTTGTTTATTATTTTCTTCCAACAAAACCTATTGGAAGATATATGAATATTCAACTGTACAAACTGCTAGCATCCTTCCTTTCTTTCAAGAGTTTTTGAGTTCGAGCCTCTCTTATGTAATAAATTTTTAATTTTTCTAACACAAAATGCAATATACAATGTGTATAGATACTATTTATAGATACTAGTTGTTATGTCCTACGATGGGAGCATTTTGCACAATTGACAATGATCAAATTACCAATAGTTCAATAATATTATCTATATATACTAATTTTTATGCTCTACGAGGGGCATTTTGCACGATTGATAGTAATTAAATTACCAACAAATCAATAATACTATCTATAGATACTAGTTATTATGCCGCTTAATCAAGATAGTTTGCACAATTGGCGGTTATTGCATTACTAATAGTTCAATAAAACATTTCTCAAGTTAAATTCAAATATTATAGTTAAATAAAATCTAATCAAGCCCTTGTTTTTCAAGAGGACTTGAATTCGAACCTCTCTTATGAATAAAAGCCCTACACAAACTACAATATCTTGAAGACTATCTATATATACTAGTTGTTACGCTCCACAATGCGAGGGTATTTTACACATTTGATAGTGATTGCATTACCAATAGTTTAATAATGCATCCTCTAGCTAAATTCAAACATTATGATTAAATAAAATCTAATAAAATAATTTGGTTACTCGAGTAACCTTCAAACTTAAGTACCTTTCATTAAACCTTAACAAATTTCAATAGTATAAGATATTAACTTCTTTCTTTAAAATTGGTGTTTTCAACCTCCCAAATATGACCACTTAATTTACCTAGAAATTGATTTACTATGAAAGCTTTTGTGATAGATGCGCAATAGTATGACATTTTAAGGCAATAAAAGCCGATTATTTGAAATATTAGAAGGCACTTAAAACAAAATAAAATAAAGTGGGACAAGTAAAAATATCAATAAAAAATAAAATAGACTTATTAGTAATGGCATGTAGTCATTGTCCTTAAGAGTAAATCGCATCCGTAATACGAGCATTTCTTTGTGCAATAGGTTAAATACGACTTACCCTTCAAGATACAACAATTGATCATATGTAAACATGCACTCATACATTTATTGGTATAAGTGAATGCTCAATTTCACTCTTTAAAAGAAAAATATGTTCGACAATTTTTAAAAACAAATCACCATTTAGTAAGAAAAAACTTCGTTATTTTATTTCTACTCTCATACCAAATGCTCAAAGATGTTTATACTTATGAAAGGTGATAATAAATATCAAATTAATTATTAAACTATAATTTACTTTAAAATAAACTTACCATGACTAGTAATGGCTATATAATGGTTAGTAATAGTTGTAATAAGTATTTATAATAATTAAAATTATTTAATATCATAATGATTAACTATATTAATATTATTGTAAATGTTTTGCCAATGAGAATCATGCTCTTAAACTTTTAAAACCAAAAGACTATTTCTTAACGGAAAATATCATTATTTTATTTTTCTTCTCATCCCAAATGACCAAGAATATTTATGGTTGTATAAGGAGATAATAAATGAAAAATTAATTATTAAACCATAATTAATTTTTTTTAATAAACTCCCAATCGCTAGTGATGACTATATAACATCTATTAACTATTGTAATAAGTATTAATAGGAATTAAAATTATTTAATATTATAATAATTAATTGTATTAATATTACTATAATTATTTCTCATTTAATAGTTTAAAAAAATATCAAAAGTCAATTATCATTATATCTAACATGGTAAAAATAATCTTCGATCACCATCATATATATTGTCAATGAGAGCTCATGGAGAGGCGCGAGAAAAGAGTCATCACCTACCTAATCGATAAGAATTAGAAAACTCTAAACAAACTTATCCGCATAAATATCCGAAGAAGGGGTCGATTACATATGTGGAAGATATAACATCATTATCGTTTTATGCTACTTGAGGTAGGCTTCATTGAATGCATATGAAAATAAAATGTTGGTTTTATTATGTTATATTTCTATACCTATTTGAGTGAATTTATTCTCACTGTGATGAAATAATAGAGTAATTCGGAGTTTAGGCCGATCCAAGATCAATATCCATACTCAAAGAGGAAAGGTAGGGGAGATTGGATTTTTGGCTAATCTTGAGCAAACACAAGTCTATACTTGATAAATAGATGAGTTTTTAAAGATTGATAGCCTATATTGACATGAATAGGAAGTCACCTACAACTTCACTCACACGAGTGGGAAGCCACTATCTACTTTGAATCATGGATTTAGGAAGCCATCGATAACTTTATTGCATAAGTGCAAAGCCACCGACAACTTTATTTTGCTCAAGTAAGGAGCGAGATAATTAGTTTGGAAGCCATTGGCAACCTCGTCACATAAGTGAAAAGTTATTGATCGCTTCTTTTCGATGAACAGAATAATAGGTAAAATGATTTAAAAGCCGCAAGCAACTTTCACCACATAGGTGAGAAGCCACCGACAAATTCATTTCGGATAGATAAAAAGTAGGTAAATTTATTTGAAAACCATAGGCGGCTTTGATAATATAGGTGGGAAGTTATCGATAGTTTCATTTCAAATAAACAAAATTTAAAAGTAAAAAGTAGCTTCGATCACATAGGTGGAAAGCCACCGTCACCTTCATTTCGGACAAACAAAAAACAAGTAAATTGATTTAGAAGTTATAGACAACTTCGACCACATAGATGGAAAATCACCAATAGCTTCATTTTAGACAAACATGAAGTAGGTAAATTGATTTGGAAGTCGATAATAGCTTCGACTACATAGGTGCTTCATTTCAAACAAAAAAAAGTAAGGTAAAATCTTAAATATAATCGAGTCAAAGTATTTGACAATTCAATCATCTACATCATAACATTTCCATCATTTTTAATTATCATTTTAAACATGTAGATAAATTCAAAGATTCCCAAATATTATAAGTGTTAACAATTTATTTTTTTAGATCAGCTTTACTTTCTTCAATCTTAAGAAAGACCGATCATGTTAGTCGATCGAGAATGAGGAAGTAACTATTCTTGATCTCTTTTTCAATTTTGTTATGTCCAGCTTAATATTATGTGTAATCTAATATTCTTGTTTTTTTACCTATAAATTAGTCATTCTGTTTGGTTTTCTATTTCACAATTTCATTTTTGTAATAGTTTCCTTAGTAGGTGCTTTTATTTCATCTAACCAATATACGGATGGGTGAGAAGTCGACATGACATTTAGTATCGTTTTTTATTCGAAGTAGATGCTCGTATCGAAAAAGATCACTCAACAATTTAACCTTTATAAGTTATTTGTAATGAATCAAATATCTTGGATAATATAGTAAGTAATAGCTCTAGATCTTTTTGCACAATATCCTCGAGTCTAAATTGCTTTTCAAAAGCTTTAAAACCATAAAAGTAACCCTTTAATAACTCAACGAGTGATTAAGTACTCGTGATAAATCTTCATGCAACTCTACTACTTTTTTACCATTGCAGAATAGAGTTAGATGATTTGATATAAACTTCATGTTTGGTTTCTTAGACATATGAAGACTCATAATGGCATCACTAGCCAATAAGATTACTAACTCTTTATTCAATGCTTTCAAGAGATCAACAACATATGATTCGCCTAACTAAGGTTCAAAATCATTAATTTCCTTATTAATGAATTTTAGTAATTCTTCATCTAGAGAAACCATTGAAACCTTTTCACCTAGATGTCGAATGCCGACTTTATCTCGAACCGGGAATAATCTTACTCTTGAAGGTAGTATTGAATATATCATTTGCTTATTCAATCATAGATGGGATTTCTCTAGTGACTTCGGGCATTAAAATAGCACGAGGTTGTTAAATAAATTAAGTAAGAAAATCTTGTTCAATTTTAATGACCTAGCAGCTAAAGCACATCAAACTACACAAAACTAAACAATACGAACACAATAGCACTAA